GCGGCTGGAGTTCATGGTCTTCAGGAAGGTGGCCAGCTCCGCCAGGGAACCAAAGTCATCGACGTGAATGAAGGAGTCTGCAGGAATGAACTGCTCATAGTTGGCCCGGGGAGGCCCCAGCACCACTGGCACAGTGCCGGCCATCAGTGAGTTCCTCCAGAGCTTCTCAGTGATGTAGTCCTGGTGGATGGAGTTCTCGAAGGCCAGGTAGAACTTGGACTTGGATGTTGTTGGCAAGAGGCAGTTCTTGCAAAGTGGCTTTTTGTTTGCTTTCCCATATATGTTCACGTGGAGGTACCTGGAGAGGTTTTTGTAGACTTCAGCTCTTTTCTGAGTCCTGTGGTAGTTGCTGATAACCCAGGACACCAAGTTGGTCTTCGCAGGGATGTTCATGGTGGCCGACCGGTTGGGTACAAGCTTGCCATAGGGGATGAAGATGTCTGAGTCCCGTCTGTAGGTCATCACCCAGTTGAAGGTCTGGTTCCATCCCGCTAGAGCTTTAGTGTTGGAGGGGGACTCCAGGGAGACCCACACCCAGTTCTGCCCTGGCGGCCTCTTCTTGGGCAGCCTGTCCCTGCCTGGCTGGAGCCTGGCGTGGGGGAACACCACGACATCTGCCCGGGCCAGGAGCTGCCTCTCTGTGGTGAGCCAGCAGCCTGCGATGCCATACAGCTCATGGCAAGCGTTCCCACTGATGTTGGGGACCTGCTTCGAAGGCCATTCCCACACCAGGACCACCAGCGGCTCAGTGTGCTTGGGGGCTTCTCCAGAGACCTCGGAAGGGTTGAGGAAGCACCTCAGGTTCCAGAGGGTGGTTACAAACATCCCAGTGGTGACCACCGCCTTCATGCCGGGCCAACCCCATGGCAGCCGTGGCAGCGGTGATGCCCGGGGCATGCTGCTGGGCTGGCTGTCACCTTCTCCAGTGACAGAGCTGACACCTGGGAGAAAGGAGAGGCCACCAAGGGCTGTCAGCTCAGCTTGCCGGGGGTGAGGGGTGGTGGGGAGGCGCTGGGGCCGGAGGGGATGGAGAAAGGGCTTCTCTGTGAAACCTGGGAGTCACCCTTGGTGGCTAGTGTCACCCCTGGTCCCTCCACTGGCCCCCAGCTCCCCCCAGGGTCCCCCATGCACCTGGTGTCACTCTGCGGTGGCTTTTGTGTCACCCTCCCGCAGTCCCTGGTGTCACCACCTCTGGGGCAAGCAGGGATGCTGCTGAAGGGGGGCACAGAGCTGATGGGCAGCAGCCACCCATCCCCCCGCTCCAACTTCCTGGCGCCGCTCCCCATTACATGCACAAGGGATGTGGTCCTTGGTACTCGCTCCGTACCTCAGTTTCCCCACCTGACAAACAGTCATAGTCCCACTCCACTCTTTTTGCTTTGCCCCGGGCAGGTTGAGCCTGAAATGCAGCCAGCCTTGCCACAGCCAAGCTCAGGAGAAAGGTGCCTGGCGGTTTGCAGGATGGGGCCATGCACCAAAGGGCGAGGGGGGATACCCCGGGTCCTGAATAACCCCACGGCAAGGCCCTAGCTGCGAACCAGGGTGTCCCTGGGAGTGACTGGGAAGTCTGAAACCCCACTCAGGGCTGGACCGGAGTGTCCTGCCCGAGAAGTGTCCCCTCACCCCAGACCACTCCTGCGGTGAGAAAAAAAAAA